TGGCTTTGGGCTGGACAGCCCTGTGTTTCTTGTTGGCTTTGGGCTGGACAGCCCTGTGTTTTTTGTTGGCTTTGGGCTGGACAGCCCTGAGTTTTTGCTGGCTTTGGGCTGGACAGCCCCTGGGGCCCTACAGGGTTGTTGCTGGCTTTGGGCTGGGCAGCCCTGTGTTTGTTGTTGCCTGGACACCCTGTGGTTATTGGTTGCCTTTGGGCTGGACAGCCCTGGGCTGAAGCTATTTACTTGCTTGCAGGCATTTCACCATGTCAAAGAAAAGGGGTGGAGCCAGGAGGACACCTGTGCCTCAAATAGATGAAGAGCATCTGCTCGATGTCTGCATGAGCCATGTCAAGAAGGTTGGTGAGGCAGCTGCCTTTGCAATGGGGCCATACCTGTCAATGGATGCAAGTCAAGCTGTAAGAGGTGGGCCTCTGGGAGATGTTGCGCACCTTCTGGTCGGCCTTGGAAAGGTGTCACCCACCTTAGAGTTCAAATACTCCAGCTTGAAGGCTTGCTTCATGCAGGTCTTGCAGATGCACCCTGCAGTGAAAGACAAGTGGCCAATTTCAGAACATGCAAATGTTCCCAAGAATTTGGCAGATGCTGTCCTTGTGGTTTGCAACCATGCAAGGAGGATCTCCAGAGACAACACAAAGTTTGCTGAGGCCTGCGCCAAGCTGAATTCTTATCAGGTGGAGAAGTTGGAAGCCATCAGAGCTTTGGTGAACCATAGAAACAAACATGATGTGGAATCAACCAGGCGCAGCTCACAAAAAAAGGAAACTGAAGAAAAGGAGACAGCTGCCATTCCAAGCCCCAAGAAGAAAGCTAAGAAGAGAGCTGCCAGCCCTGCCACTTCTTCAGGGTCAAGTGAGACTTGGAGTGCCCTGCAGGCCTTAGACATCCCAGCCACCCAGACTGATGGGGAGAACTCCTTGCTGAATTCAGCCAAGAAGTCTGCACCTGTGCCAGCCAGAAAAGCAGTACTGAGGGAAAAGGTTGCCCAAAGCAAAGGATTCAAGAGACCTGCTGCAGACCTGGTGAAGAAGCCAGCCTCTAAAAGCACAGGCAAACATAAGCATGAGCCCTTTCCTGATGATTACAAGGTGACTGAGGAGCTCAAGGTGATGCCCTACCAGAAGCTGGGCTCATGCGCTTTGAGAATCAAGAATGGCAGGCAGCTTATCCAGGTGGTCTCCCCCCATGGATTTGAAGATTCGAAGAGTTTGGCTGTGCAGATGAAGAGGATGCTTGAGAAAGGCAAAAGCTTTGGTGAAGTCAAAGCTTGGAAAGAGAAGAAGGTGTCTGGATAGCCAACAAAGGAATGGTGGAAAAACAAGCTTGAGTGTTTGGTTTTGGGCTGTGGGCTGGACAGTTTCAAAGAATTGTGGGCTGGATAGCCCCACACATGGGCTGGAGTAGCCCCTACATAGGATATGGGCTGGACAGCCCTAAAGAATTCTGGGCTGGATAGCCCCACATATGGGCTGGAGTAGCCCCTATATAGGATATGTGCTGGACAGCCCTAAAGAATTCTGGGCTGGATAGCCCATAGAGAATATGGGCTGGGGAGCCCCAAAGAATTGTGGGCTGGATAGCCCCACACATGGGCTGGAGTAGCCCCTACATAGGATATGGGCTGGACAGCCCTAAAGAATTCTGGGCTGGATAGCCCATAGAGAATATGGCTGGGGAGCCCCAAAGAATTGTGGGCTGGATAGCCCCATGGGTTGGAGCTGCCCCTATGCCCCTATATATAGGATATGGGCTGGACAGCCCTAAAGAATTCTGGGCTGGATAGCCCATAGAGAATATGGGCAGGGGAGCACCAAAGAATTGTGGGCTGGATAGCCCCACATATGGGCTGGAGAGCCCCAAAGAACTGTGGGCTTGAATTTGTTTATGGCAAGAATCTGTTGGCAAAGTCTGCAATATGATATGCAGCCTGGCCCAAGCAGAGCAGAGCCTTCTGTCAAAGAAGATGGCAGGCCCTTACAATAAGGGCACAGGGAAAGCTCCCTGGCAGGAGCCATGGGGCTCCATCACCCCAACAGGGGGGTGGAAAAGGCCATGGTGGGGCCAGTGCACACTGGCGTGCAAACATGAGGTCTTTGTGTGAGTTCTACTACCCAGAGCTGCCCATGGGAGTATTCTTGACCAACCTGGTGGCCTATGCCAAATCCCAGTGGAACCTGAGGAAAGAAGACTGGGATACTGCTCGAAGCTACTTGATGAGGGTACACCAAGAGTGTGCTGCAGGACTGGGCTGGAGGGCTGGACAAGGGTTAGCCCTACAGGTGAATGGTTTGTGTTTCGACTGGAGGGCTAGACAGGAGTAAGGCCTCTACTGAGTGGGCTAGAAAGTCCATGGGAAGCATGGGCTGGAAAGCCCTTACAATTTCCTTTGGTAGA